CGAAAGCGACAACTTTTACAAACAAGAGGCTGAAAATGCAATTTTCTGCAAAACAAGGCCATAAATGTCAATATATAAAATTTTGGATTAAATTTGTGAATTTCTAAACATTTGGGACAAATTTGCAAATTTTTATAAATTATGGACTAAAATGTCATTTTACAAAACTTTGGGCCTTAATTGAAAAATTGTAGGATTATTGGCAAAAAATGTCATTTTTACAAAAAGAAAGCTTCTTATCATCAATCTAGTAAACCTCGAGCTAAAACAAACAACGGAACAAAACAAATGAACGAAATACGCCGATAACTATTTATTGGACTTAATATTCATGTTACTTGGCCATTGGGCCCTAAGGGCCCATTTAAGTGTATATCGAGCCCAACGTTTTCCATGACGTGTTTATTTGGGCCTTGCGACCCACTTACATGTTAATTTGGGCCTAAGTTATGGATTACATGTTTATTGGGCTCTTGTGGCCCATTTACATGCCAATTGGGCCCAAATTACCCACTTACATGTTATTGGGCCTTTGTGACCCATTTACATGTTAATTGGGCTTGGACTGAAACTTAAATGTTTAGTAGATTGAAATTATACCTTTACATAACTATTGAATTTCGTATACTTATATATGTACCTTTAGATTTGATAACATACAACATACATGTAAACATTAAACATAGTACGAAAGGTTGAGAATCTAGTGAGACGTGGCGGTTGGCACCTTTGAGTGTACAATCGTAGCTTGTAGTTATAATCAGAGTCTCCTGGAGGGAGAGCGAGAGTTTGTGTATAGATCTATACGGGGTGACCCCCCCCACACCTTAGTTGTTCGCTACAGCTAGACTAGGCCAGTCTAGGGCGACAAAACCTTGAGCGAATACCGACATTTGGAAAAATGTTAAGACAGACAACCTAGTCATTATCATGTATGATTATAACGGCTCATATAGAGATTCAATACCAATGTAACGTTTCGAAGATTAACCATTCGATTGTGTCAATACAAAACAACTTATTTAACGGTACTAGGAACCTCGACATTTTAACAAATCAGAAAATATCGGATTTTTTGGGGAAATACTACTATTCAATTTATCACTTACTTACAATACAAAGATATCAAAACTACATTCGTATATGTTACATCTAATAAATTCACACATGCATTTATACTCGATTTTCACATCATTTTCAGACACTTTACAGAAAATATCGGATTTTCTGGGGTTTTACAAAGGATACAAAGACTTTTATTCAAGCCTACTTATGAACTCACCAACATTATATATGTTGACCGTTTTCAAAATAACTTGTATTCTCAGGTAATCGTGAAGCTGGAAGATTTGCAAGTGTGTATGGTTTTGCTTTATATAACATCACTTATCGTACTTTTAACAATTTGAACTTATGTATTTTAACAATGTACTTGATGTGAACAATGATGGTTGTAATATGTAATGTTGGTGATGAATGTGTTATGTTTCATGTATATTCATTGTGATGATTATTCAATTGTTAGTCACACGAGCCCCCAGACGTTTCTGCCGTCTGGTTCGGGGTGTGACATATAGTTTTAATTTGCATGATTTACTAGGGGTGAACTTGGTACTATTGGGATGACAACAAAACACATTAAACACTTCAGAGTTCAGACAAATGTCAAACAATACATCAGACATAGAGTTGAAGAAGGTCATCTCATATTAAAGAGAGTGTCATCAGAAGACAATCCTGCAGATCCTTTCACGAAGGTTATGAGTAGGGTTAAACACAGTCAACATGCTAGGAGTATTGGTTTGAGAGATGATGTTAGTTTTAGTAGTTAGATGATTAGTTTGAAACTTGTAACAAAATAAATGTAATTGATTTTGGTGATTAAATAATAGAGATTATTTATGAGTTTGTTTACTGCCTTAGTTAATTATTTATTCTTGTGTTTCGATTTGCATGTTTTACTTCTTGAATGATTTGATTATTTGAAACTCCACAGTCTCTTACTTTAGCAAGTAAGTAGTGAGTGAACAATGTCATCAATTGGATTGTAGATTGTCTAAGGAGATTAGACATTGCAATTGTGTTGCTGCAATGTTCATAAGTACTTAGAAAAATGGAGATTTGAGTATTGGATAAACTCACGCTCAGAGAATTACTTCATGGATTCTATCACGAGTAATTCTGAGAAAATAATATCTTATATTCTTAAAATGGAGATATATGAGTTTTGATTTACAAGTCAGTTGTGCATTGGTGTTATGTAAACACATCAGTAACTTGATGTTATAAAACGTAGTGGCATGCATGATTTGGTGAGTAAAAGGTACAAGCATATAAGTCAAATTTTACTCGTTCCTTTTGCCCTGACAAGAAAAGCGATATCTTTGGGCCCCTCCGTGATTTGGTGTTGAAATTATAGCGTTGGGCCCAGCTAGTGTAAACTAGATAAGAATTGATTGTTTAGATATCAGATATGATCTAATGTAAAGATATAGATGAGGTCCTTTATCTTAGGATCTATTGTTGTAATCATCTTTATGTATGTATATATATATATATATATATATATATATATATATATCGATACCTAAGGGTAATTCATGGCAAAATACTTATGTTAACTTGGTATCAGATCCGTGATCCCTACATCTCAAAAACCTTCCTCCAACCTCGACTCTCTGACCTTCTGTCAAAGAGTATCTCTTTAATGGCTTCTTTCGTAAAATCATCCACCATTGCTACCGTTATATCTTGCAAGTTGACTTGTACTAATTTCTTGCTATGGAAGGCTCAAGTAACTCCTATCCCATGGGGAGTCCGACTCTTTGGACATCTGGATGGCACTACACCAGCACCTGCTGCCACATTGACCACCGGAACTAGCGTTGTCGGAAAAGAAACAGACGAAGCTCCAAACACAACACCCAATCCCGACTATGAAACATGGGTGATTCAGGATCAATCCGTCATCAGAGTTTTGTTATCCTCTATGACTGAGGACGTTCTTCCCCAACTCATTCGTTGTACCGACACAAAAGAACATTTGTGGATTGCACTCCACACCATGTTTTTGGCTCAACATCGGGGAAATTCCATTCAGATCCGCACACAACTTTCAACCACAAAGAAAGGATACATGAGTGATGCCGAATATTATCAGAAAATGGTTGGATTCGATGATACCATAGCCAATATTGGTTAACCAATGAACGATGAAGAGGTTATTGGGTACATTCTCGTTGTTCTAGGACCGGGACACGGTGATTTGTTTACAGCAATTACCGTTATGAGCAATGAACGGAAGGTTACCCTTCCTGAATTTTATTCATACCTGATTGCACATGAAGCACAAGCTACAACCGTGGGAAACACAATTGAATTTACTTCTTCAGCCAACAACGTATCTCGACAGGAATCCAACAGCAACAAAAACAATCCCCGACGCAACTACAACAATAGTAACAACAATTACCAACGAGGAAACTATCGTGGCGGTCGTGGTCGTGGTCATGGTTGGAACAATACTAGACCACGTTGCCAAGTTTGTGGTATACCAGGCCATAGTGCATTAAATTGCAGGAATAGGCTTAATCATGCCTACCAAGATGAGGAGAACCGAATTGGAAACAATGTGACCATGGGAAACTATAATCCAGATACTTCTTGGTACCTTGATACAGGAGCTACAGACCACCTTACCAGTGATCTCGATAGACTCACTATGCAAGACCGTTACCATGGGAAAGATCAAGTCCAAGTAGCCAATGGGGCAGGTTTGTAATTTCGCATATAGGTCACTCAAAAATTTCAAGTTTGTCTTGACCTTTAGTTCTTAAAAATGTCCTTCATGTTCCTCATCTTAACAAAAATCTTTTGTCTGCTCAAAGACTTGTTTCTGATAATAATGTTTTTATTGAACTCTACCCTAATGTTTTCTTTGTTAAGGACATTGCCACGAAGAAAACACTTCTACTCGGGTAGAAGCAAAGGATGTCTTTATCCCATTCCAGTCAGTCGCTCCTCTCGTCAAGCTTTATCAAGTGTCAAGGTCTCTTCATCTCAATGGCATCAACGCTTTGGTCATCCCACTCCAACGGTCGTCAAATCAATTTTGAGTTCAAATAAACTAGGTTGTTCTTTTAATAATGAGTCGTTTGTCTGTGATGCATGTCAACGTGCAAAGAGTCGCCAACTCCCTTATAATAGTTATGTTCGTGTCACCTTTTCTCCACTTGAGCTTGTTCACACCGATGTTTGGGGACCGGCTCAAGTGTCCAGTGGAGGTTTTAGATATTATGTTAGTTTTTTGGATGATTGTAGTAGATACACTTGGATTTATCTTATCAAACACAAGTCTGATGTCAAACAAGTTTTTTATAATTTTCAGAACCATGTTGAGCGCCTATTAAATCTTAAAATTCATACTGTTCAATTTGATTGGGGTGGAGAGTATCATCGTCTCCACAAATACTTTCAACAAATTGGAATTGCTCATCGTGTTTCTTGCCCTCACAAGTCACAACAAAACGGTGTGGCTGAGCGTAAACACCGCCACATAGTTGAAATAGGTCTAGCCCTTTTAACTCAATCATCTCTTCCTCTTCATTATTGGGACGAAGCTTTCTTGACTGCCTGCTACCTTATAAATCGTATGCCTAGCCGTACCATAAGCAATACTACACCAATCACACGAATTTTACAAGTCAACCCAGATTATTCTTTTCTTCGTGTCTTTGGTTGTGCATGTTGGCCAAGCCTCAGGAAATACAATACTCACAAACTTAATTTTCGGTCAAAAATATGTGTTTTTCTTGGATATAGCTCTATGCACAAAGGATACAAATGCTTGGATAGAACAACGGGAAAAATATACATCTCGAGATGTAATTTTCGACGAATCTCGGTTCCCTTTTGCATCCTCAGATTGTTATGCTACACCTTCTTGTGCATCAAAAGTCACCTCATTTCCTCAGTCAGAACTAACAATTACAAATGACCATATGCAAAATTATGACCTATCTTTTTTATTGTCTAACAAATCTGATGCAACTGCAGCTAATTCTTCTCCTGCACTCTCTCTATCGGTGCATATTCACTGTTCACCACAGTCTACTTCTACAACGGTTCAAACTAAGCAAACTTCAACCATCATCGATCCAGATGTGTCCACACCAAATACTCCTTCAACACCGATGACACCATCATCTCCCATCGTAGGTACACCAACTTATGCATACAGTTCACCAACTCCTCCACCTGTCGATGCACCATCAACGAATCTAATTGATCAGGGTACCACAGTTGTCTCTACTCCTGGTGTTACCACCAAAATTCGTGTTGTACAAGTTTTTCCTTGCAAATTCACTGATGACACTGTCTGGTATGATCCAACAAAGCGTTCCTTCACCGCTGCAACTATACAGTCATATCGCTTGGCTTTATCTGATCCAGCTTGGCGAATAGCCATGGAGTCCGAATTTGTTGCACTTCAACAAAACAATACATGGGTTCTCGTACCACGTCCCGCTGGTGTGAATATTGTTGGATTTAAATGGATTTTTAAGCTTAAACAACATCCGGATGGTACTATAGACAAGTATAAAGCACGCTTGGTAGCTCGTGGTTTCACTCAACAATATGGTGTTGATTACCTAGATACTTTCAGTCCAGTTGTAAAACCAACAACCATTCGAATGGTTCTGTCTTTAGTTGTGTCTCGGGGCTAGCATCTTCGACAAATAGATATAAACAATGCATTTCTTCATGGGTTGCTGGATGAAGAAGTCTACATGCAACAACCACCTGGTTTTGAGGATTCTCAACATCCTACGTTTGTGTGCAAGCTACAAAAAGCACTCTATGTACTCAAACAGTCACCTTGTTCCTGGTTTTCTCGTCTTAGTGAAAAATTGCATCATTTTGGGTTTTCCTCCTCCAAAGCAGACACGTCTCTTTTCATGCTTCGCGCAGCTGACATTTCTATCTACATGTTTGTCTATGTTGACGATATTATTATTGTCGGGTCCTCACAACTGGCTGTTGACAAATTAATCAAAGCTTTGTCCTCCTCTTTTCTTCTTAAAGATCTTGGTCAAATTACATATTTTCTAGGAATTGAAGTACTTCACAATTCAGGGGGAATCACGTTAATGCAACACAAGTATGCCACTGATTTGTTACAAAGAGCTAACATGCAGAATTGTAAAAGCATTTCAACTCCCATGTCAGTAACATATAAGCTTGCTCTCAACCTTGGCACGTCTCTCAATGATGAATATACCTTTAAATATAGAAGTGTGTTTGGTGGCTTACAATATCTTGCATTAACAAGGCCTGATATTGCTTTTCCTGTCAATAAGGTGTGTCAATATCTTTCTAAACCCACTAATGTTCATTGGGAGGCGGTAAAGCGAATCGTACGATTTGTCAAAGGCACAATAACTACCAGGCTCAGAATTCGAAAGTCACCCCCTACATCGTTGAGTGTGTTCACTAATGTAGATTGGGCATGGTATCTAGATTATCGAAGGTCCACCGGAGGTTTTGTAGTATTTCTAGGACCTAATTTGGTCTCATGGAGTTCACGGAAGCAACCCATTGTGTCTAGGTCAAGCACGGAATCCGAGTATAAAGTTTTAGCAAATGGTATAGCAGAAGCTACTTGGATATAGTCGTTACTTAAGGAGTTGGGTGTTCATCAAGCTCGAGCACCTATGTTGTGGTGTGGTAATTTGGGAGCTACCTATTTAATATCTAATCCAGTATTCCATGCCCGAACGAAGCACATAGAAAGTGGATTTCCATTTTGTTAGAGAAAAGGTATCAATGGGATCTTTGGATGTCCGGTTCATATCCTCTAATGATCAACTTGCAGATGGTCTTACTAAACCTAAAACTCAAGATATGTTGAGAAGATTAAGATACAATCTAAACCTTGTGACGGTTAAGATTGAGGGGGAAATGTAAACAAGATAAGAATTGATTGTTTAGATATCAGATATAATCTAATGTAAAGATATAGATGCGATACTTTATATTAGGATCTATTGTTGTAATCATCTCTATGTATATATATAGATATCGATACCTAAGGGTAATTCACGGCAAAATACTTCTGTTAACTGCCAAGACTGAATTGATGTGTTCGATTAGTAGTCTAATGAAGTTATCACAAATCTGGAAATCAGGAAACAAATATTTGGACAAGAGATTGACTATAATCCATGTCTCATGTCCATACAATATCTTGAAGAACGGAGGAATATTTGACCACTTATCTTAGGACCAATGCATGATCAGATCAGAGTTTGGTAGTTGCTTTGGAAAGCACACTTTGTTGTTTAATTAATTTAGAAGTTATACTTGCAATTGTAGTTACAGAATTATCCAAGTGGGAGACTGTTGGATTAGGTGTTTAAGCCAATAACTAAATTGGTATGTACTTGAATTAAAAGCAAAGTCCTTTTTGGGTTGTCCTTTAAAACTAGTAATTGACATAATGACTTTTAGAGAGAAAGGTTGATTTATTGATTTATTATATGATTAATAAATAGCAATAAATAGTTTATTAATATATTATGAGATTAATATATTAATTAGAAATAGTATTATTCAATTAATAAATAATCAGAAATTAATTGGAATTAATTTTGGGATTAATTAAAAGTACAAGGACTTAAGCTGTTATTATTCAATAGTTGAACAATAGAATGATTCTAGATCCTTCCTAGGGGGAACGAAATTTAGTAGCCTCTTAAGGTTTCTAGAGTGTCCCATGTGGATAATAATGAAACTAGATAAAGCCGGATTTGAAATAATATTATTTTATTTCAAATTAGAGTTTCTAGGGTTTTCCTATCAGCTATAAATAGAACCTCCTGGGTTCCTCATCTTCATCCAAGCCTATACTCATACAAGAAGAGCATAAATTATGCTTCTCTCTCCTCTTTCCTCTCAAGTCTTCCATTGTTAGGGTTTGGGTACAAACCATTACGCACATAAGCTTTTGGTGTTGGTTTTCCAAGCAAATTGAAGACATGAATTCTTGATTGTTTACAACAATAATCAAAGAGCTATGTAAACCCTAATCATTGTAATTTTGATTATAGTCGACTTACCTTAGGGTTTATGATGTTCAATTGTTTATTTCTTTCAACAGAGAAAACTTAGATCCAAAGTAGGTTGCATGTGAAATTAAGGGTTAAGTTGTTTTCGCCACATGTCTTAATTATAACCTATAAAACCTATCAATATCAACCAACAAATCACAATTTTCAGCTTAAGGCATTGAAGGTTTAGCTTTAGTCCCAATGACAAAGCCCCACACATTCTTCCCCCGAAGGAAGTTCTTCATAATGTAGCTCCAATACGTGTAATCTTTCCATCCAATCGAGTACTGATTGACTGAAGGGAATCATCCTTTCCAGTCATGTTTGCAATAGGTAGATAACCACAACAAGAACAGTAATAGTAATATACAAGTAAACAGATACGAAGAACAACAACACACCAGCGGAAACAACAAATCGAATCAAACAAAAAGCAAACGACAAAAATCAAACCATCAGAAATCGAACCAGCGGAAGCAGCAAACGAACCAATAATGGCAAACGAACAACTACAACCGACTACTACAAAACATTCTAACATATCAAACCTCCGCTATGATACCATGATAATAGAGCCATATTCTTATTGAAAAGAGAGAAATTACAAGTGTTCTAGATAGAAAAGCATAAGAGCTAAAAACAAGAAAGAGGAGAATAAATACTAGCTAAGACCAAACCCTAATGTGCTAAAGGCTAAAGAGCCCATAAACATCTAGGCTAACAAAATATAGGCTAACATTCCAATGGTGGACATATCGATGTATTGGCTGCAAAACCTAACCCCAAGGTAAATGATGAGCTAAATGACCAAAACGCTGTCGAAAATGTAGTTGCGCAGGTACCCTCACAAACTTACGCGGGTGAGACCCCACGCTCGTAAATGGTCCTGAAATACTATTGGCTCTTTTTCTCAACTACTCCACCCCACTACTCAAGATTCCATTGGTCTCTTATACACCTCACATGATTCAAATTTGACCAATCATCTTCAAGCTTCAAAATGGATAGTCAAAGCCTAATAACAAGAGTTCATGACCTATCTTCATAAGCCCACTTCATGCAAGTCTTCAACATTTTAAGCCTAATTCTTATTTGATGGATCTGTAAAGCCCAATAACTCTTCGTAAGCCCACCAAGCCCATCTCCAAGCTAAACCGCAACCGCATCGAGAATCCAAAAGCCTTCAAAACACCTCATGCAAAATAGAAAGTACTCGAAACATTCCTTCCTCTGATTCCCCATTATCGTCGTTCTTCCCCGCCTCATGTATGTTGTTTATTGCTACCATATGTCTATCGTTTCTCCCTTATACATCTACGACTTTATCAACATTGTCGTTACCGCCTACAATGTCCATTCAACACCTTACGGAGGTGGTGACAATTAATGATGTTGTTTCTCCAACCAAATCCCTTAATGAAAATGATGGAATTTTCGCTCTCTTTTGTTCACCACTAATTTTGTTTTTTGAAATTTGATTGATCGTGTCATCTAGGATTTTTGGTCCTTTTCTATTTTCACCATCATAACTAAAAATTCTTAAATAAAAACCCTCAGTTTCTATAGTTGATAAATTATGATAATTGGTTATGTATTGAAGATTGAATTCACGTCAATCTAAAAGATATTCTCCTGAGTTGCTTTCATTTAGTCAAAAGCTTTGATGTTTTTTTGTGACTAATGCATTGAAGACAAAGAACTGGAGATCGATTTCAATAGGTTTTTTAATTCAACATTGGATCAATTTAATTTTTAGTTCCGGAGAATGAATTTCTATCTTTTCCCTAAACACAGTCACCAAAAGATTTGGAGATCCTTTTCAACCTTCAACCAATCCATCTGTAAACTTTCACATTTCACATAATCTCCATGTTCTTCCTTGTGAATCTAACATAAAACCATTTTTTATCAAGAAACATTGTGTTTTTAGCTATCTTTAATCGACAAGAATCAGACTGATATGGTGAATTTGAAAGTTAACAAAAAATAGTTAGAAATTAGTATGAAATATGACCTATTGTGGCGGCTGCAACTGACGTTGTTATTGCTACTTTTGTGATGTGTTTGTTTGATCACCACTATTTGTAGCAAAACTAACTAGAAACTTAAGCTTGCACATAATATTTGATTTGGGACGTTAATGGTTAATCGACTTAAAATTGTAATCGATGGAGGTTTTATATGATTGAATTGAGGCTGAGATCGCCGGTGGTGGTGGTCATTACAGAGAAGAGGAGACGAGTAGAAGGAAAAACGGGGAGAAGAAGGGTGGGGGTTGGGATTGAAGTTTTCAATTTTCTTATTTTTCTATAATTAAACTTGGAAAAAGATAAAAGAAGATAAGAAAAAGGGCAAAATAGTCTTTTTAAAAGAAGTAGGGAAGGGCACTGCAATATTTTTAAACCATGTGGATGTAATCTGTCAATTTTTCAATGGTTGGACCATACCTATGATTTTAAACAAACCAGAGGTAACATTTCTTTTTAGTAATTAAGTCAATAAAATAAGAATGTAATTTCAATTTTTCTTTATTTATGATGTCATTTTACCAAATTTATTTCCTACATATCACTCTATTGTGATTACAAAATCTATCTCACTTGATTAATTGATAACATGTTGACCGAAATTATATTGATATAACATTACATGATAATGACATATTGATATTACTAGGTGCAAGACACATACTTTACATGTATAAATCCTTACTAAAATGTGGATTCTAAATTTAAGAAAAATAAAAATCATAAAAAAATGAACCGAATAAAAAAAAATCTTAGAAAATGACATATGTCAAATGCAATGAGAATATGTCATTAGACAAAAATAATTTTGATTTATTAGGGCAGATGTTTACTTGTATTTTAGTTAAATTTATATATCAACTTTAATTATTATTTTTTATAACTTACTTATACTTAAATTACAAATTTAAAGCATTTTTTTTATTTTTTTATTATTATTTTTTTTATTTTTATTAAAATACTTTTGAAAGACAAATACATTTAGGACGTGTTCGGCAAAATTAGCTGGTAGCGGGTAACTTGTAGCGGGTAGCGGGTAGCTTGTAGCTTGTAGCGTTTTGTTAAACGCTACATGAAGTAGCATTTGGATTTGAAGCGTTTTGTTTAAACTAAACGCTAGAAACTTGTAGTGCCGAACGAGACTTTCTGTTCAAAATGGAGCGTTTTGTCAAACGCTAGAAGCTAGAAGCTAGAAGCTCTCAAACGCTCCAAAACGCTCCGTGCCAAACACGCCCTTATACGTGAATCACAAAATTGCATGGATCACACACATTTTTTTATTTTCCTATTTATGATCTCCGATTTCTTACGACTTACTATTATTTAGTGGACTCAACATTTTTCGATGACTTTATTACCTGAGTAAACAAATATATATATATATATATATATATATAATATATATATATATATATATAGATATAATATATATATATATATTAACCCGGGCAACTGCCCAGGCCCACGACTGCAGGGGGCCCAAACTTTATGGCTATGTAGTATATATATATATATATATATATATATATATATATA